ATCGGCGAATTGAAATGACGTGAGAGTCCAATGAGATCCACCAAACAATTTTGACAATTACGTGTGTGCGTGTGTATTTGTGCGTCGATGCGAACTATAGGCGTATGCGTGCGCGTCTCGATGAAACTAGGCGTGTGCTCCCGACCGTCGACGGACGAACCGAGCCGGTCTCTCGCGATGGGAAGCTCGGCTCTTGTCCGACGAACCGCGATCACTGTTCCTCGCGCCAGTACCCACGGTCGACTGACTATCACTGCCATGTTTCGATCGCTCGCGTCACTCGCTTTGTTTGGCGCGATTATTTGATTTTCATGCACGTGGCGGGTCGCGCCGCTATATTGCCGGCACGGACGGTTATTCGATACCGAACATTCGGCGGAATTAGCGCGACGATCGTTTCGGTGAATTGAAATCTAATAGTAGGTTGAATCTGGAGCGATCGTTAACACTTTCGCTGCTACTGGCGTCTGTATCGTATGACCGGTTCGAGTGTATAGGGGAGACCAGGGACAAATAATTTTTCTTTTTGAGTCTGTGACATTTGAATAAAGTAGAATTTTTTTTTAAATTCTTAGACGACCAGAAACTTTGATTATTGGGTGATGTAATAAAACTTTGAAACTTGGAATATATTGCATGAGTTTCTTGAAATAAGACTCTTCAAAATCACGAATTTGCTACTTTTGTCCCTAGCACTGGGGATGATTGTAACACCGTATCTAAATTGGAAAAAAACAACTGAAAGGAAAAATGGTTTTAAATGGTATTTTTATTTAGTCTGTAGATAGACATAAATATAAATATAAAGATGAATATAAACATAAAAGTAACAGAAACGTAAAAAAATTTTTAAAAACGCACTTGTGTATGTAGTATATTATACCAGTTTTTCAAATAAGACTTTCTTTAAAATCACTCATTTGTTACTTTATATAGTAAGTAGTATAGTACCAGTGTGCCAAAAATTTCCAGACGTAGAAAAATAAATATACATTACACCGTGGGCCAATCGAGGCAATACCCAAGTTATCTGCAGGTGACACTATTTTATCTATTTATAGATAATATAATAAACTCTCGTTCGAGAAAGGGCAAATTCACGAAGAAATTCGTTCGACAAATCCCATTCGAAGGAATTATGCTGGGGGATTCAAACGGGTTCATGGTTCGCAGTTTGAATCACCATTAAAACCGTCTGCCTTCCAAGTGCTAATGAACCACTCGATATATCACAAGATGCGATATGAAGTAGCATGGTCAGCGAAGTAGGTATGTATATGCATCTGTGCACAGAGTATTTCCTTTCGTGACTGTTATTTGATTCTCTTGAATTGCTCGAGGTTTATCGTTATGTGTGCGAGATGGGATACAGAGGGTAAAAGGGTTGGAGACAATCGTTGAAGCAGAAGATTGATTTAACCGAAGATTAATAATTATAAGAAACAAATTAAAAGTTATAAGAAGAACTGTTTAACCGATATATTTTTCAATCGAAAATATATTCTCTAACTCAGCCGTACTCAACCCATTTTTTTTCGGGCCATATACAGGGTGTAACAAAAACGTTGAAGGATCCGAAAATGGGAAACTCCTGAGATGATTTGAAACAAGTTTTTCCTTAGCAAAAATGTTATCCGAGGCTTTGTTAACCAGACTAATTAAAGCGCAAGTCTACCGACTTATTAATTTTACTTATTAATTTTGCCCTTAGATTAAGGTTAAAAAAGAAATTGTTATTCTATTAGAGTTTTTTTTTTATTTTTCATGAATTTTATTTCTTACTGTGATTGAACTGATTAATAATAGTTCCTTGATCGTTGGATCTACTAAATCTATTAAACAGCAGCTGGTAGGTAATGTGTTGATTGTCTATTATACGGATATTTGCTTACGATTTCATAACCACGTAAGTATGTACCTATTATCATGGTTTTGTTTAAATGTTAAAGGTGTCTTGCTCTACCACTACATTAAAATGTACTCAACTTGTATGATATTTGTACAGATACTGAAATCAAGTAACGAACCGTTGAATAGATAAAATAAATATCTGTTTGCCTTGGATTCTAAAGGCTGCTACACATGCTTCAACTGGACTGTAAGTTTCGTCTGAACAGTCCACAACATTTTTGCTATTTTCCTGTCTCCCAATTCCGTTTTTAAGTGTTCATAATCCCTTTAAACGGCGTTATGTATATTTTTATAATTACAGTATACGTTCTCAATTAATAATTACAACGACCATGCTTCCACAGGTTTAAAACTATTCTCTAAAAAAGTTGAACCATTTTCATGTTCTTCGTTAGTGACGAAATTGAATGTGACATATGACCTTTATAACGATTAATTAAGAACATGTATTGTATTTGTATATGTATTAATATTTCGATTATAATTAGAAATTAATCTCTCATGCAGTGAAATAGCTTTCCTCATAACCGTATCATTTTTTTTATTAACGGAGTAACTAAACATAAAAGCTTTACATAAGTTTCTTCGTTGATCCTTAAATAATTGTTCCAATCTTTAGGTGCAAACCGCGATTTATTTAATAAATTCAATTCTTGCAGCAAGCATCACGTTTTAGTTTACACTTATGACACTTTCTTGTACTTAATAATAACCCTACTACCGCTAGAACGTCGTCTGTCGATGCCATGCTCAGTGGATAAAACTTTTAAATTGAAAGGTCGGCCGAAACCTGTGTAGCAGCCATTAGAAAATGATGTATGAAACCAGAAATCGTACGCTTGTTCGTAAAATCTTGACTTCTTGGAACGTAATCGAATCACTTTCTAAATTCACTCGAAGATATTATGCGATAATTGAATTACGTAACGTACACTATATCGATATTAGAGATATGTACAAGGTTAACCTTCATCTTCGGGTAATCGAACAATATTAACGATCGTTCGTAGTATCGAGATAAATTAAATTGTTTGTCACATTTCAAATTTGACTTCTACTCAATCTATCATTAAAGGTTGACCTGAATACCTACGAAAGCGTCTTTATAATTTCAGTAATTGTGTAAAAAGAAATCTAAACTTCGTCATTTTGACGGGTTTGGTAATTCTACTGTTAGGACAGAGCGCGGTCGCAGTTTTTCATAGAGTGAATCAAAGTAAATAGGTCGTTGATCACCCAAAACCGCGATTTCGGAAGCACCCGGTATAATACCGAAAAATCTACAATCGTTAGAAATAGTACTCCGAGTCGCTATTCAATATCACGTTCACGTCAGTTTGCGAAATAGTTTCACATACTTGTACCCGTTTGAAAATTACAGGTTGTTATTGAAATTTCAATCCTGTATTTCCCTCACACTTGTGCATTTACGACATCACTTACGACATCTTGTGAACCACTTTTATTTTCTATCTTCTTTTTTTGAATCACCGATCTAAGGTACTTTTGTTGTTCAATTTCGTTGACTTTCCAAGGGAACCTTTACAGGTTCTCTTCTGCGAAGATGCATCCATAATTTGTACTAATTGGAATGGTACTAATGGGGGAATTGTAGACAGTTCATCGGTTACCACCGATTAATCGCATATCAGATTCTGGGGTTACGGGGGAACGTGAAACACAGCTAACCAGTTACCTTATTAACCAGGGACAGCTTGTGCCGGCCTAATTACTCATTAAATTCCGCTTAATACGCGACACTGTCCTTCCTGCCCGCGATAAATTTTCCATTACGATTTCCCGTCGAGCAATTGATCCCCCCTTCCTGTTTGCATCCTCGACCGATTAAATTAACGTTTGTATGTGATGCTTATGCTGGACGCAGACGACTAAAATCTTATTGTATACTACCATTTGTTTCAATAAATTAGCAATATAATGCGCATAAACATAATTCAACATTCATACTGCATAATTATGCAGAATTATATTGACTGCCCTGACATTCTTGAACTCATGGTGGTTAATACTACAAATATAACTCGTAGGAAATTTCCGTTATTCCACTACAAGGGTGTAACAAAATTGTTGTGGGGCCCTGAAATGGGTCACTCGTGAGGTGACTTGGTACAAGTTTTACCTTAGCAAAAAGTTTATCCGGGGCCTTGTACTGACTTTAATTGGCACTAATGAAAAACCCCGACCAATCAGAGCTCGACCAGCAGTTGAAAAGCCTCGAGATAGATGGCGCTGCGATTATCTGTATAAAAGTTCTGCCGTACACTTTCTTGTGGAACAAACTGTACTATTATTATTTTATGTTGAAAGTTCGCAAACCAGAAAAGGACATTACCTATAGGATTTCCTAATAGAGCCCCGTTAACGGGATCACGAGATCCTTTCGAAACTAATGTTCACCGACAACACTAAATAGTTACTGATCACCAGCGGGAAGGCACTAAACGAAAGAGCATAATTCAAGCTTTGAAACGCCTCAAGATAGATGGCGCTGCGATTAGCCGTTTAAAAGTTTTGCCGTATACTTTCTTGTGGACCAAACTGTACATTCACGCTGACATACCCGTATAATAAATATTATTATTATTATTATTTTGTGTTGAAAGCTCGCGAACCATAAAAGGCCATTATAGGATTTCCTAAACAGGATCACGAGATCCTTTCGAAACTAACGAGCGCCGGCTGGTGATCCCGCGGTTTATCGATCACTGACAACACTAAATAGTTAGTGACCACCAGCGGGAAGAAAAACGGTTCGCGGATAAATCTCGCCGGGAAGGAATGTCGACGGATGGGGAGGAACGCGCGAAACGATCGATCAGAAGTGTGGCGTTTGTGCCACTTTAAGAAAGTAAGTCAATGCGATTCCGCGTGAGTAAGGCTGCGTCGGAAACGGTTAGCGCCTGGGCCCAGCGGCGAGACCTTCGCGCCTTGATCTACGGCGATCTACAGACGGTCCAACGACGGGGATTGGTCTCTTCTTTTTTTTTTTTTTCTTTGATCGGAGGCTTCCGTGATATTTATCGAGATTTTTTTCACAGAGAGAGGTAGAGGAAGAAGGATTTACTCACCTTTCGAGAGCTTATCGACGGACTCGAAGCGTCCTTCGACCTTGTTCCGCAAGGAATCCAAATCGAAAGGCGTCGTGAATCCGTGATCCACGCTGCGGCTCTTGCTCCTGCGGGAGAAAGTGATTGATTTGTATCATCTGAAGTAACGGGAGTCTGTATTTCTTATTTTCTAGACGACACTGTTTAGATCATAGTTTCCCAAAATCGATCCTGAAGAGATTTAGGGAGACGTTCTAGTTATTCATTTTTATCTTTATTTTCAGTTTAACTTTTTACGATTCAAGGATTACATAACTACACTTGGAAATTGTAGTAATTGAAATAGTTCATCCGAAGGGGGCGCTGAACTATAGGTATGCCATAAAATACTGATAAATGAGAATTCTAAGGATTTGTCGAATAATGTTTTTCGCCGCTATTTCCTTTTCCATCCAGCTACGTAATTTTGTAAAGAATAAAAAATATTATTTCAATGCTTGGTCCTTAATAGATTAATAACTCAGAAACAAAACCCCGAACGCAATTTTGTCATTTTTACTAACACCCACACTCTGGATTCGTTCGTAAAACGATCGGTTTCCGCTCGACATTCTCGAATAGAATGTAGAAAGAAAGGAAAGCGTCGGGAATGCGCGGAATTACTCGCGCGTAGACAGTTTTCCCTGCACAAGCGGGGGCCCGTTCGGCCGTGTCACGATGTAATTTCACGATGCAACGAGCCATGCATAGCCGTCCAGAAATGAACGAGTGCAAGACGAGGAGAGTCGACGGACGAATTGACTGGCCGGGGATAGCGAGCAACAATAGGACTTCCGTGAATGAAATTACCATGTGGAAGAGGGAGAAATGAAAAAGAAAAAAAAAAACGAATTTCATGAATGAGAGAGCACGAGGCGCGAACGAATCCGTCTGACACAGCAGCAAGTTAAATTATCCGCGTCGATAAGCGTTTTCACGGGTTTTTTCGGTTTTATAGGACGATGCTGATTCTGTTTCGTTAACCCTTTCACGTAAATCAAACCTATACGCGGAGATTTAAGTTCGTCAGGGAAGAGTTATCCGTGGATCTACATATGTCTGATAACCAGTTGCGTGCAGATTGCCATATAGTTAGAAAATATCTGCAAAAAATCATAGCTATTTGTTTCTGCATTTGGCTTGGGTTTTGCAGGCAAAGCCTACTAACAGAATCGTAAAGCAGATTGACAGGTAAGTCTTGTAATATAATCTGTTGTCAGATTGGGGGCCAAAACGTTGCAGGGAAACTTTTCCTTTCATCCAAAAAATAGAAAAATATTTGTAATTAATCACAAAGTTTGTTTTATACTTTGAAAATACAGATAAATGTGATATAAATGAAATGAACTAAATATTACTTGCATTGCGATTTTCTTTTTCCATTTGATTGATGACAATAGAATTCATTTTACTATAAAAAGATACAATAACTGAATTCGTATGGTACTGGATCTTATTACTCTTAAACGATCGTACTTCGCAAAATATTAACAGATTTTAAATGCAAGTTACATATCAAAATTATAAATATTGTAAAATTGTAAGTGAAATTGAAAATTAATGAGTATATATGTATTATAAAACAATAAATATGTACTTATTACTCATAAAATAAAAGTATTATGAAAATCATAATTGCTAGAAAAGCGGTACATCGAAAAAAAAATCGTTAACTTTGAAGATATCTGCCAAAAAGTTAATAAGGGAACACATTCTTAAAAGAAGAAATTTTTCTATTATTTTACTGTTCGAGTAATTGATAATTTTCTACCGCAGAAATTTTCAAACGGATTTCCTGAAAAATGCACTTTTCTAATATTATGCTACAGTTAAAAAGTTAATTCAGTCAATGTATACATTTCCTAGTAAATGTATGCACTTATTAATCTGGTTGGTAAATGTATTCACTAGGAACGAAATTTATACTTCTATTAGTAAATGCATAAATCGATATTTCTGATTTAGTAAAAGCATGCACAAACAAAAATGCATTAATTTCAATAAACACTATTGCTAGCATCTATTCATATGAATCATATTTGATTGAACTCAGAAACAATTAAAATAAACAAAAATTGAGTCATTCTTCCTATCGTTCGGAAATTTCAACCTGGAAGGGGATGAATATTGTTGTTCGCTATCCGATAGTCGGTCATTGGAATTGAACTGTTATTTCACGTACCTGAAATAAGATGCGGTGAGGTTCTCGGTGGATCTCGAATGCGTGACATCCTGGGACATTCGCCTGGACCTAGGGTGCAACAAACAATCCAAAAACAACAGCGGTGAGAACACATGCAGATCTACGTGCCAAACAAAAAGTAAACTTAATTAGGGGACTAACGAAATTAAATAACACAGCGATGAGATCCAGAGAAAAGTGAACATATATATTCTAATGAGATATTGTTCCTCGAAGTTTTCGTAAAATCTGTGGAAACATCGAAATGCCTGTAAACGTAATTTATTCGAGGATCAAGCAAAGTATCCACAGATTCTGTACCTGCGTTCACTTTTCTCCGGACTCTAAATAAATACATCGAAATAAAATAAGAAGGTAGCTTGATAAAAAGCGATTAAAAGTGATTACAATTAACGGGAATAATAGGTAACAAGCAATTACACTTTTTAACTTTAAAAGTAGTCATCTCACATTAGCCAGTATACTGTCAAAAGATACAACAATAACACTCTTTTCGTATACAACCATGCAATCAATTCGTGCTAGTACTTTTTCTGAACTGTTAAACTGGTGTGTGTCGAATAGAGAAAATTCTCTAGATGTTAAATTAATATTGCAAAATAAAATAATGGTTGTAAGTTATAGAATTTAACATCCGGAGAAGTGAAATAAGTGTCACTCGCCCGGAAAATTCGGTATCGACCAAAGAAATGACATCAAAGTCATACAGCAGCTCTGGAAATGGATAGAAATAGATTTCTTTTCATAATTTATTGACCTTTTACCTTTTTTTGGGATACATGTATGGCCGCTTGACATCTAATACACCTATTTCTTTAGAATTTTTATTTATAACAATAAACAACTAAGAATGCTTTTTGATCCCACATTGGTCTATTTTCGTTCCTTATGCAGTTATTTCATTTACATGTATTCAAAACCAAAATAACTAAATAAAAAAATATTATTAAGAAGGTTATTTATATCCCTTGTTCGAGTTTCTTATAACAGAATTTGACGTCATTCTACAGGCCGATACTGAATTTTTCCGGATTGAATCAGACATTCATTTCAGTTCTTTAGGAGGTCCAGTCCATACAGCTTACGATCATTTATTTTTGTGAAACTAATTCCACATCCAGGGAACGTCCCTCGTAGTAATACTCGGTTGATATTTCAATCAAACGAATCCCTTTTGTACACAGAACGTCCGTTCGATAGTCGGGATATCTCTTTCCGTCCCGAATACCAGAAATACGGGGTGTACCCTCGAAAATGGGAGCGAATCCCGGGCTCGACCGAATGCAGATCCGCACAGTAACGAGTGAACTCGTCAGGATAGGCCGGGTTAACCGAATTACAGCGTCGGGAGCAATTAATGCCGTGGCGGCGCAGATGCGCCGTTTCAAATCGACCGAATATCCAGACTCGAGTTACACGAGTCCGTGGATCTGACCCCGTTTCCCACGATCCACCACACAGTGCGTCGAGTAGGTATATGGTCATTCGGAAAAAAAATCATAACTTTTGAATTAATCAATATTCGACCTAAGTACCCTAATACAGACTCCTCTCGATTATCGTCCCAAACTCGGGTCCGCGCCGGGACAATAATCATGTAGGAAGACATGCTTCAGACTCTCGTAAATTCGTTTTTTTTTTCCAAATCCCGAGCCTCGGCAACAAAAGCAGAGGGAAAGAAAGTATGCGTTTGACAGGTTCCACGATCTACCCCCTCCACCGGTGGGGACAACGTCTGGACAATAATCGAGTAGAACAAACCAGACGATAATTGAGGGGAGTCTGTACTTTTTTAAAGGAAATACAGAGATACATCGATTGGGTCATAAAAAAATATATAGTTCCATTCAAGAAAAGTGACGTCATCTTGATTTTTTATTGAATAAAAAGTTTTTTATCAACTATTGAAATTTGTTGAAAACTTTTGTTTGAAACATTTTTTTATCAAATTAATTATAACTACCATAATACATCATTATCTAAGTCAGAACAAGATCAATGTTTGTATCTGAATTTTTTTTAATTGTAATCGTAAAAAGTGATCCTTAATAATAATATTAAAAATATTTTTATTCTGGAAAATTTGAGCCTCCGGTTCAAGCATGGAAAAATCGGAAAAAAATATGTCCATATTCTATGATCTTTCCTCTTTACTTTCCTTTACAATTGCAGAGTGTCTGACCACAATTGTAGAGTGTCCGCGAATCGAAGAAACGAACTTTAAAGACAAAAGACCACATAACATGGACATATTTTTTTTTCCAATTTTTTCATGCTTGAACCTGAGCTCAAATTTGCAAAATAAAATTAGTTAAGAAGGACCATTTTTTACGGCTAAAATTAAAAAAAGAAAACGAAATTCCTATCTTTAATAATCATGAAGATAAAAATCGAATTATTCCAGGAACTCTTCAAAAAAAAAAAAACCGTGCAGATAACGCGAGGAAACGTATGTGCCGATTTTGGAGCACGTTTCGAGTTGCGTGAACGCATCCACGTATGAAATGGCTAGCATAGGTACAACAGCCGTGTGATATATCACGGGAGTCTATAAATATTGTCGACAGAGATAGAATATCAATAAGCCAGTGGAGTCGGTCATCGGAGATATAAATAATAAATTGGACACCGGGGCCAATCAGATGGATAACGAACAGAAAATATACGTTACCTACACACGTTGCCGGGCCGGGCGGCTTTTCCGAGGAGAAACTCGTTTGGAAACTTCGGGCGTTTAATTAGTCGGCGTTTCGCGATGGGAAATTGCATCAGCGCGTTGTCGTTCAAGGAAAGGGAATGGAAGAAACGAGGACGCAGGAATCACGGCTGTTATTATTGCGCCGTTGAATTTCGGCGCAAACGGTTCGATTGTGTACGGAATCGATGGTAGATCGTTAATTATAAATAGAACGACTGACAACATAATAAAGAGCAACATTGAAATTATTTAGAATTGGACCGTTACGGGCCTAATGCTACTCACTAGAATGCGGATTTTATGCATTTATAGCCAATAGGACTTTATGTAATACAAAGGAGAAAAAACCTATTCGATGATAATAGCAATAAAACTAATATCATTATTATTAAATAATAAGTCATTTTTCCGAGAAACTGCAGCCCCAACCGAAGCAATATTTTATCCCCGGGGGGGGGGGGCGAGTCTCGTTTAAGGGGTAGAGGGGGCAACCAGTAAACACGCGAGAGAGCACCATTGATGGTCGACATTAAACATTACGAAGCAATTTCAACTGTTGCGCGGGCAATTCGATCCAGCAATAAACGATAAACTCGCGGCACTGGTTCACGAGGTCGTATACAGGGTTAGTCAAGAGAAACAGAACACTTGAATATATTTGGGATTGAATACAGGACAAAAGGTGTATTGTTCCAGGCAGCCAAAGATGGCGGTATAATCAAACTTGTTTGATGTTAGTTGCAGAGGTTATTTGAAGGTCATCAATGTTTTGTTTTTGTTGAATAGTATCATATAATTTTAATTTTACAGCATTATGGCTAACGTCAAGACGAGTTCATCGACATGGTATACTATGACCTTGAAATGACCTTGGACTCTGAAAGTCACGATCAATTGAAACATTAACGTATCTACTTTGGTTTTCTCTAGTCATCGGGCTTAATTGTTTTGTTTGTTACAATCCAACCTGTGAAAGTGTCCGATATTTTTATTAACATCCTGTATACCCATACGATTAATACTTCGGCCAATTTCACAGTCGGGAGCGTCCCAATCGCTTCATCCCGCCATTCAACGACAATATATGTCCGTGTCGCACGGCAGAGCATCGGTCGTTTCTGAAAATTTACGGGATCGTTTAAACGGGCAAGGGAGGGGGGGGGGCGGGCGTCCCCGTTGAACAGGTTCCAGAATGATTCGTTCCCGGTGGTTTCATATCGCAACGACGCGGTAATGTTGTTTCTCCTTGGTTTCTTGGTTCCATTTTTTGTTCTTCGTCGCCGATACTCTTTTTCTTCGTTCTGTATTTTCACGCTCGTCACGCGACGACGGTCGACAAGAAAGTTTAGTATTCAGAACTTTTTCGCAGATGTGACTTTTTTCTTGGGGGTAATTTACCCTTTGGGATGGACATTCTGTTTTGTCGAGGAAGATAAAAGTACATTTGAGAACGTGACAGGTTCAACGTAAATATTTTTTTAACACGTCTATGTTAACGGAGTGTTTGAGGGACGAAAAGTAAATATGGAGATTACAATAACAAGAAAATTTTATGTATAAATAGACACTGCGAGAAAAAAATTTCAATTCTTATGTATTGCGGGTAAAATAAAAACGAACCAAATATGCCATGATTGAAATCGTGTTGGGAAATAATGTTCCTCCAGAGAAGAATAGATTATATCCTCTAGAAAAAAAGTGGTTCCTTTTTATTTTAATCAGAGTACATAAGGATTGAACATTTTAGGGTAGTTTTATAGTTTTGCCATACAGTGTATGTGTGTTATGAATAGACTGCGGATGTTTATGCATTTATAGCAGAAATATATGAAAGAGTATTACATGTGGCTTTTATTATCGAACAATTTGCCCACCTCTGATCTATACAATGCCTTGTGGCTTCGAATTAATCTCGTCTACGCTACGTTCTACGTACAAAAATTTCTGATGATTATTTCAAGTCTGTTAATAAGCGACGATCAAGGTGGTGTTCGCGAACAGTTAGTGGCAACACCTGCTGACCCACATTTTCCCGCCCGTTTATCACGCACGCGTGAGTCGTCGACAAGGGAACGGTTCGAGGCTCATTAGACGAAAATCAATGGAATCGGGGGACCGTCAAGCGTGATTCCCTGGATTCCCTTTTTTATTTTTTATTTCTATTAGACTTGCACTAGTCGTCGTTCGGCGATTTTGCAAATGCCGTGGACAATAAACACGTCTGAATCCCGTGGAAACAGCTTGGCGCTTGATGGAAACGGGTTTTCCAGGCGACGACGTACAAGGCAGAAATGCGAATTCGCGGTCTCGACTTCCATTGGAAGGGAGAAAGGTGGCACCCGATGGCGCA